GAGTAATGAAGCTCTCCAGCTTTGAGGGTTAGTTAACAACTTAGTGAACTGGACAAATTGACTCCTTCCAAGGTCTACTATGCCATTAAATCCAAAAAACAAAAAGAAGGATCTAAGCCCCATCTCTGAGGACCTAAGAGACATTAGAAATGACAAAGGAGGATATAAACTGACATTATTTTCAAGATAATTAGACTTATCTGAATACTGTAAATTTCACCATTGCTGGGCTCTGGCACAGGTAGGAGCTTGGCAATTTGAGTTGGCTAGGATGGAGATGACATCAGTTGCCCAGGTGACAGAGTTATTAGAAGGAGCTCAAAAATAGAACTTTCCTGAGTAAGCCCACATTGAGATAAAAGGGCCACACCTTTATTCTGCACACTGATCACTCATTAGATGAGGGCTGCTCAGGAGAGAAGATATAATCCTTGATGAGATAGCAATGTTAGAATGAAAGTATAATTTCAGGAGAGCAATTTAGTTGAGGGTTTCTGCCACCCACTCTCTGAGCAGCTGGGAGAATGAGCCTCTGTACTAAAGGTTGATTCTGACAGCCCACCAGAGCATCCACTAGAGGAGCTAACTCAACTATACTAGGTAGCCCCACCACAGAGTCCCTAACTGTGCCAGGAGGCCCAGTCTGAAAGTCTGAATCCATCAGTGAGAGATACTAGGTTGATTCTAACAAGATAGTAACTAGGAACCTGTCTGGAGCAGCAGTATTCCTTTAAGAACAGAGATGCAGGGATTGGGAATCTGGTGATTGGGAAGAAGGAAAGGCAGGAACTAGTTGGAGCCCCACTCCTAGATGGACTTGAGGGTTAGCAAGCAGTCTTCAGATAAGGAGTCAAGGCAAATGTAAGCACCAACATGGCATGGGCCATGCCCAGGGCTTCATCAGAGTCATGATCAAACACAAGACTCCCCAGATGAGAGGATGAGGTGACTTCATTTCAATCCTAAAGAGTAGAGACTGCTTCTACTTTAACTCTAATCCACAAATGGAAGGATTGGGGACCTGCAGATGGGATTAATGAATAGCTAGATATTTCAGAGTTTATGTCACTAATGCTGCCTTAATCATCCCATCTAAGCATTTTTTTGGGGGGGGGTACCAGAGAGTAAATTTAGGGGGCATTCGACCACTGAACCACATTTTATATTTTATTTAGAGACAGGGTCTCACTGAGTTGCTTAGCACCTCACTATTGCTAAAGCTGGCTTTGAACTCATGATCCTCCTGTCTCAGGCCCTAGAGCCACTGGGATTACAGGTGTGCACCACCATGCCTGGCTCACAGTAACTCTCTCTTTTTTTTTTTTTTAGAGAGAGAGAGAGAGAGAATTTTTAATATTTATTTTTTAGTTTTCGGCAGACACAACATCTTTGTTTGTATGTGGTGCTGAGGATCGAACCCGGGCCGCACGCCACGCATGCTACCACTTGAGCCACGTCCCCAGCCCTCACAGTAACTCTTAATAGAGTTGATTATTACTAACATAATCCACTAGTGAGGTTAGAACCCTCATGACCAATCAACAGCCACCTTTGAACACTGCTGTAATTGGAGATCAAGCCTTCAACACGTGTGCTTTTTTTTGGTGGTGGGGAGGGTCATTCCAGATCCAAATTATAATAGTCTTCCTCTGTTTTAATTATTTATTTTATCCCCTTCTCCCACTTATGTTCCTCAACTCACCATAGACAATCAATCCTAACATATGTTCATGTGTTTTAAAATTTCTAAGGTTTTGTGTGCAGGTAGTTTAATTCTGCAAATAGTGTTATGTATATCGAATTAGTTTTTTCTGTCACTCCGATGATTCTAAGATTCACCCAAGCTGTTCTGTGTGCCTTCAGCTTCCAAGTGTTCATCTACTTGACTAGGTATGTACTGTGTACATTGTACCTGCACCCTTACCCAGGGATGGACACCTAACTCCCGATGCCACAATGTGGTCAAGAAAATTCTTGTATAGGTCTCCTTAGGAATCAGTTTAAAAATTTCTCTGGGATGTAAACAGGAATGGAATTATAGAGTTATTTAGATAATTGTTCACATTGCTAAAAGTTTCTGGCATCTTGGGAAGAATAATAGAGGCATCCATCAGAGAAGGAAGCACCTACAAAGGGTGTAAATTGCAATGGCCCTTAACAAATCACATCTGGACTAGAGGAATCACTTTTCATGTTCTATAGCACAGTGGGTTAACTATGGTTAACAATAATTCATTTAATATTTCAAAAGTTAATAGAGAGGATTTCAAACATACCTGTCTGAGGTGATAGATATGCCAATTACTCTGATCTGGTCATTACACATTGTACAGGTGTGTTGAAATGTCACCCTCTACCCCATAAATATTGAAATTGCTACATGCTAATTTAAAATGAAATATATTTTTTAAAAACACAAGGCAATTCAGGTTACACTATGAACAAATTTAAATATAGGAAACAATACTTAATGCTGAGCTATTGCTCCAATTGAAGACAAATCAAAAATGGAAATAAGACTTCTTGAAATAAAAGTATTAAGCAATGGAAAAAATGTTTTGAATTCACAGAATCACATTCTCCATGGTGCCTCCTGGGAACACATCTGCTGTGAAAAGCACATGTACCTGCCTCACCCCACTTCTCTCCCCACTCTCTGGCCCCAAGCCTCTTTCTGCACCCAGCCACATACTCCAAGATGTCAGTTGTTTGATCAGTGTCCCTTTTTAGATAGGGACTCTTATTTTCACTCTCATTATAGCTGCCTTTCCCACTCTGCAGCGTGGACATCAACTCTACAAAATTTCATCTTGCACCAGGGCTGTTCAATAGTCACTGGGGACAGCCAGTGCATGATCTATAACTTCTCTCACTTCTGTCCGACCTTTGCTCCTCTTCCTTCATCCATACATCAATCAAGAGCTCAGACAACCCCCTGGCGAATCTGAACCAAACTGTTCTTCTGGGAGCAGCAAGCTCCCATTTAGGGGAACAGGCCGCCTGTTGAGAGGTGCAGGCTTCTGGGCTCCATTTACATGAATAAACACCTCTGAAGGGTTTGGTTGAAGCTTTTATGTAAACACTCTCCAAAATATGTTCTGCACTGCATTATCCCCAGCAATAAAGATTCTGGAATCAGAATTTGGCTGTCAGTTTTATTGATGTTGCATGGGGTACAGTAGAATACAGCTTTCTCTTCTGGAAATTTATTGGCTTGGCAGTGCAGAAAGCAATAAAACTGTGTTTTTAATCAGTAAGCCAAGCAGACATGATTCCAGAAGAAATATAGGAAGCAAACATGCCATGGCAAGAAGATTTCTCCCTCCACTATCCCTGTTCTTCTCAGATCCCCAGTTAAATAATTTGGGGTTTTGAATAATGTGCTTGGTGGGACAGTCATCAGGAACAGAATCAGAGGACCAGGTTTGGATTATTTCCTCTAGATTGTATCATCTCTAAGAAACTGTTGAATGAAAGCACTCTTCTGAAATCTCTAAAACTCCTCTGTATTAGCTTCAAGAGAGGAACTGCTGGTAAGCTGCTTTGAGAGAGAAACAGAGTGTGATGTGCTTCCTTTCAAGAGAAGCAAGGATGGAGTGCTTGTCCTTCCACCTTACTCACCAAGAGACAATGGGTTAGGAATCACTTGCTTCATTTAGCCCAGTACTGCACATTGGAAAAGGCATTGAGAGTCAGTCTGCTTGGTTGTTACCTTGTCCACAGTACCTAATTTCTTTCTGACCCAATTTCTTCTGCTATCAAAATGGAAATACCCCTTCACGCCATTGTTGCATGAATAAAATAAAGTTGTAAGTGGGTATATGTAACAGAATTACAACGTAGAAAGTTCCTTCTAATGCTTTACTGATTGATATTTGCTCATCACAGAGGACTTGTTTCTTCTTGAAAGCTAAGACAGTCCCTGCTGTGTAGACATCTAGAAAAAAAATGAGACAGCATCTCCCCACTCTGTTCTCATATACCTGATAGTCACTGGATTTCCACTTGAAATGACCTGATCCATTCACTTCCTCTTTGCCAGTCTGAGCTGAATCTTGAACCACTGGAGATGCTTGATAAATGGTTGACTGTTCATCTCTAATTTGCGGAAGCTTTCTTATGCACCTCTTAACCTCAAGATCCTTTAACCTTCCCATATCATCCTGAACTGGTTTTCCTGTTGCAAACTGGAGCTCTTTTCTCAACTCCTATGTCTTGTACAGCTTTCACCTCAACTTTATGAATACTTAAGTTGTTCCTGTAGATGTTAGTGCTCTCATAGACATTCTCCCAAAAGATGTGAAATTCCCATGTGAATAAAACCATAGGAGCAGAGTGGCCTGGTTGGGACTATATTGAAATGGCTGCCTGAGGAAGATAGGTTAGGTGGAAAGAGGCCATTACTTAGGGAATCTTCCCTTCTCCTACCTGCATGGTTCCCAACTGTATTTTCACCATTCATTTCTCCACTGTATCTAAAAAAAGCTTCTTATTTCATCCTCCCAATCAGTTCTACAGGACCACTCTAAAGCCATTTATTAACTATTTACTTGGTTCGAGCCTTGACTTTACAGAGGTAATCTTGATTAATTACTACAACAATCCAATGTGATAGGAATTACTATTCCAATTTTGTTGATGACAAAAGAAACAGAGGGCTTAAAGAACATGCTCAGGGTCACATAATCAGGAGGTGAGACAATAAAGATTTGATCCCAGATGCATCTAATCCCAATGTTCATGACTGTAACCACCCAATTACATATGTTTTGATAAAGACCAAGAATAAGTCATGGTATATCTCCTTATTGATATGTTAGAATACTCAACCTGCATCCAGTTGTTGTTACCTGTAATATCTCTCTCTCTCTCTCTCTCTCTTTCTCTCTCTCTCTCTCAAACACACACACACACACACACACACACACACTTTATTTATAAACTTAAAAGGAACCCAGTCTGAAAACTTAAACTCTTGGCTTTTCGTTTTTCTTTTCTAGATCACTCACTTATCTCCCTGTCAAAATCATTCCATCTCAAGCTTTCAGAGGACTTAATGAGGTCGTAAAAATGTAAGTAAGATATTGCATATTAAAAGACATTCATAATCAAAATAATGAATTTTCTTCTAAAAACAAAACTTAAAAAGAATAATTTTTCTAGGAGAGAAATAGTGTTTAGGACACCCAAGTATTTTTATCTTCATAATACAAATAATATCTAGGGGCCTTTGAAGAAAAGGTATGATTTTCAAGAGTCATTAAAATCCAGATAATTAACCTTGGTTCAAAGAATTGAATGCATTTTGATAAGTGATGATACACTTTTTAAGTAAAAAACAAGATATATTTCAATCATAAAAATTCTTCTACTAGAACAGCTATTCCCTTGTGTCACATTTTTAGATAACTCCCACACAGAAGAAAATGTGTTGGAAGTTTATTGTACATCAGAAGATAATCTTTGTATCTAAAATATAATAAGTGTATGACAAAAACACAGTATTTATAGATTTATTGATGAAAGGCATTTATCAGAAGTGTAAAGCAGCCTGATAATGCAGTATGATCTCATGTCTGTCAGATGTAAGTTCAATCATTTGTCCCTGGGTTTTTTCAGCTTCCAGTGTCAAAGACTCCATACATAAAGAGAAAATTTTCTCAGGAGAAAGAACTTTCCAGAATCCTCCTTAATGCTAACCTGAATCAAAGGATGGTTATTTTGTTCCTATAGGGCATCTCTAACATTAACAATCCATTGGACTTTCAGGCAGATTTACACCTCCAAAGAAGATGCTATACTGTTAAGCCTAGCTTCTTGGAGAAACTCTGCTACTCTTTAGGGTATTTAGTATTATCATTATTAAGTTATTAAAATTCTATATTGAAAAGAAGCAATGAGAATATTAAACTAAGAATATTAAAATATACTCAAGAATTGTGCATCTTATAGTGTATTTGCTGCTGGTTACAGACATGTCAGTTGACTACAGCCTAACCCATGTTCTTCTGACTGCTCTCAAGTTTAAATGTTGAGTTTTGATAACTTTCAATGCATTAAGACCTCCTACTAAGAAAAGCAGCCACACAGTTAAATAAGCAAACATTAGGTAGGAATAAGATGAATCAGCCCAGGCAATCCATTACTGTGTTGTTCAGAAAAGACATTAACAGCCTTAGGCTCTGCCTTTCTATGGGCTAAAGCTCTCATCAAGTCTGAAGCATTCAGTAAGCATTAACCTTAGAAATACACAAATGTACAATTTGTGAATTTGAGACTTTTATCTCAGCTGGCAGCAGATAGTGGCTCATGTTGGGATTTTGGATAACACTGACATTACTGACATGCTTAGGGATAGCAAAGATGGTTGCTTTATGTTTGTGTGTTTTTAAAGAGTCAGTTTATTCACTAGTCCATTCATTTATTCATTCATTCTCTAACTATGCACCAGGCAATATAAAGCCACCAGGGATTCAGAAGGAAATAAAAATTTTTTATGTCCTTGATTGGCTCAAGAATAGGAAAACAGTCACGGAAAAGGATAATTACTGTCCATGATGGATGCCACGTTACAATAGCCTCAGGAGAGTGTTTTGGGAAATCAAGAATTAAGAGTTATTAAACAGCAGGTTGTGGTGATGCATGCCTGTCATCCCAGTGGCCCAGGAGGCTGAGGCAGGAGGATTATGAGTTTAATACCAGCCTCAGAAACTTTGTGAGGCCCCAAGAAACTCAATGAGACCCTGTCTCTAAATAAAATATTAAAAAAGGGCTGGGGATATGGCTTAGTGGTTAAGCACTCCTGGGTTCAATCCCCAGAACCAAAAAAAAGTTATGAAGCAACTAATTTAGACCAAATTAAAGCTTCAATACAGTGATGGAATTGGGACCCCAGTGTTCCTAATCTTAGTCTTGAGACTTCACAAAAATACTATTTGCCTGTCCTCTCAGGGACTCGATTTCCAAAACAAGAGAGTCTGATTAGATTTTCTCAAGAATTGTGCATCTTTCTCAAAGGACTTATCTACTTCTAACAAATCTGTGATTCCAAGTCACAGATAAACAAGAGAAAAGCCTGTCATATAAATGGGAGTTACTGAAACTTACATTTCAACTGCATCTGGGTTGTAGACACCCATGGGTGCTCCTAAAGGGAGATGTTAGTATTTCGTGATGTAAGCAGAACTCACACATTCTGTTCTTTTCCAGAGGGACACAATGCAGCACCTAGTTGTTGGGTCACACACACACTCCTCTTTATTATGTAGACATAGTCATTTCTTTCATGCTTCTTTTTTTACTTTTTTTTTTTCTCCCCTAGAGAAATCTCTCAGAGTGATTCCCTGGAAAGGATAGAAGCTAATGCCTTTGACAACCTCCTCAATTTGTCTGAAATGTAAGCATCAGCTAACAGATAGTTTATTGCTGTACACTATTACCCTTGCTGGCTGGAGCCCACTTGGTATTTGTATTCAAGCATCTACTGCTAGGAATCCAAGAGGAAAAGACTCAGCAATTACTAGGTCTGGGCAGGCACTAATTTCTCTCACTGCAGTGGCCTGAAGGTTGCCATAGTGACAACTGCTTCTCTCTGGGAGCTGTATAAACCCTGAAACATCACAACACACCGTTGGAAATTAAAATTGACATTGTGAAGTTCTGCCAAGTAGCTCTTGCCTTAGGGAAGGGAGGGTATGGAGTACTTGGGGTAGTTGAAATTTTTGGAAAGGAGCTTAGAGATCATGAAGTGGTTCATTGCGGGCTGTTCTGGCATATCCTTTGTGTCAGTAAAATGCTTCTTGAATACCTACCATGAAAAGCCCCATATTGAGCCCCTGTGTGTTGGACATGCTGTATTTTGTTGGTGTTTTGGAATTAACTTTTTAATGTAACCCCTTCCAATTCATCATTTTCTCTTAATTCCAAAAAGAGGATGGGAGAAGTCCAACTCAATTGAGTTTTCACATGACACATCTGTGACCCAAAGAGGTCAACTAACTCGCCTGATGTCACACAGCAAGTTGTACCAGAGCTGGACTAGAAACCAGGTCAGATGACTTTGAAACCAGAACTCTTACCACTGCCATATGTGGTTCTGACCCAAGCAAAGATCCCTCAGTCTCCCCTGCTTAGGAGTATCAAAAGTACAAGAAAGAGAATTGTGGCAGCATGGGATATTTTTTGAACTCTACTGTTTGGCATTTCCTCTAGGTTGTGTCACTAATCCTCACAGCCACCTTGCAGAGTGGGATAATTATCCCTTTTGCCCAAAGAAAGGAATGGAAGCTGGGAAAAGTGCCACAACTTGACCAGTGTGACACTTTAGACAATGGCAGGACTGGGATTCAATTCTGAGCCTATCTTTTTCAAAGCTCATGTATTTTCCACTATACCACAAGGTCTCCCTGTAAATGCTCCAGTGAATAATTATCTAAAAAGAATAATTAACCAATAAGTATGTGAGTACCCACCATGTGTCCAGTTCTGATCCAAACACCACTGGAATGCAAAGGAGATAAAATACAAATATTCACTAGGAGATGATTACAGAAAAATCCAAAATAATGGGTATTTTAGTGCAAACAAAAATGTCTAGACTTGGCTTTGAAGCCGAATTGTGCATAGGGCCCATTATAGTTGTGCTCTCCCAGACCTAGAGATCTGCAGTTTTAACAAACTTCCCAGGTAATGCTGAAGCACATACTATATTGAGAACCACCAGGGAAGCTAATGATAATAAAGCCTCCAGTGATGTAAAGCAACATTTATCAACACAAAGAAAAATAAAGAACACTAAAGGGAATATTTATCGATTCCCAATGAAGTCCCTGACACTAGAATGCCAGCTCAATGCAGACTCTTTTTGCATTTTCACAATTGTATCCCCAGTCTCTAGGACAGTTCTTGGAACATGTAGTCATTAAGTAAATGTACATTGAGTGAATGAATATATGAACAAATGGTCTAAGGTCAGACCCCCAAGAGATCTTTAAGAAGTAAAAAGCCTCTTCCATCTCACCCATATAAAGCCCTATGGCCCATGATTACTTGAGTTGGTTGTTGAAAAAATAATTACCACAAAATATCACTCACACTGAAGAATCAGATGCCTATTTCCATCTTTTATTTGCAAATATATGCCAGTGATAGGAAACCATAGCACTAGACTTGGAGTCAGAAAAATGGGGTCACACTCAAGTTCAGCTGTGTGACTGGAAAGAAATCATTCAACTTCCTAATTTCAATTCTAACAATCATTATTAACACCTGACAAGGCCTTGCTGTGAACTAGACACCCACATTTAGTCTTCCTCAAAAACTATCCTATGAGAAAACATCCAAGTTCATATGATGGGTAAAATCAGGATTAAAAAAAAAACAAAACTGGTAGCCGGGTGCAGTGGAGCACACCTATAATCCCTGCAGCTCCAGAGGCTGAGGCAGGAGGATTGCAAGTTAAAAGCCAGCCTCAGCAAAAGCAAGGTATTAAGCAATTCAGTGAGACCCTGTCTCTAAATAAATTTTTTTAAAAAATGGCTAGGGATGTGGCTCAGTGGTCAAGTGCCCCCAAGTTCAATCCCCAGTACCCTCCCTCCCCCCGCAAATAAAATCAACTGATCTCACAGTGCATATTCCTAAACTATATACTATATTTCTCTGTATAACAAAGGTGATTACCATGTCCTTAGGTTGTTGTTACCTGGGTCAAGAAAGCCGCACATATTTACAGGCTTTTTATTGAATCCAAAGTAGGCAGTACTCAACAATTGTGGCTACTTCTTACAGGGTCACAATAATTGATGGAATGGCGGGGGGGAAGGCAATAACACCATTGTAGTATCATAGCTCAAATTATCTGTCTCAAATTATCTCGACCTATTCTATTACTCAAAACCCACCAACCTATGAGACGGGAAGAAGACATAATATTATTATTCCAACTTTGCAGAAGCAAACACTAGCTAAGGGAAGTTAAGATGGGCATCATCACACAACAAATTATCTATACACTATGCCTAAGTTTCCAAAAATCCAAACCCCTAGTCTCTACTCTGTGCTGTTGCATAGACTGGGTGCCCATCTGGATAATTGCTCAGTGTGGTTGCCAGTTCAATATGAAGAGGACTAATTTGCCTGCAGAGGAGAGCAACTAATTTGTTCCTGAGTGCAGAATCTCTCACCAACCAGGCTCCACAATGGGACAGGATCTACTTGGCTAGGAGCTCTGGATGTCAGAGGTATTTGATGGGGAGCAGGAGGGGCAGGTAGAGATGTACAGCTATGATACCTACACCTGCCTCTTCAAAAGGTTTGAGCCAAGCTCCCTCAAAATAACCTCAGCAAACCATTTCCATCTCCAAAGTCTTGGGAGCTCCTCTCAAGCACATGAATTTGCTTGATTTTGTTGATTCCATTTTCAGGCAGCAACCTCTGGTGACCACAGCCTCATGAATTCTAAACAATATCCATCAATTAAACTGCTTCCTATTTCCTCCTCTCTTTACAGACTGATCCAGAACACCAAAAACCTGGTACATATTGAGCCTGGTGCATTTACAAATCTTCCCCGGTTAAAATACCTGTGAGAAATTTTCCTTTTTAACCATTTGGGAAGGGGAAGATGGGCATCTGATGAAAACCAAAATAATTAAAAGGCTGAGAAATATTTTTTAAAACCATCTACTTGGCATTGTTTGCATGTTCCTCCTCTTTAGCTGATTTAAACATAATCGACATTTCTTATTGGCTGCCATGCTGGGTTCTTCTGCATACATGGAAGTGGTTCCCAGCATTTTTTCTGTCCCAAACACCTGAGAAGAACATCACTCTTTGCTGTGACTTTCAGAGCTGACCCTGGGAAGGGAGGGGGGTGTCACAATATTCCAAAAAGGGTACATCAGAATCTCTAAGGTGAGCAGATAGTAGGTGAAAGTGGCAATTCTGATTTAGCCATAGATGCTGGTTGAGAATTGTGTATCTCCTTTATCTCATTTGTTCATTCATTTGTCAAGTGAAAACTTCTTAAGTACTGCCTTCACGTACTGTGAGAAATAAACTAAATAATCATTTGTTTTTTCCCATTAAATCATACCAACACTACTGTTTAGCATGACAAATTGAGTACAACTGTAGCCAAACAGCAATTGTCCTTGCCAAAATTCCTGAAAATTGATACAATCTATAAATTGATCAATAGCAGAGCTTCTCACCTATCAAGTCCTCCCTACTCACGCAGAAAAATTTAAGTCCTCCTAGTTTAGATAATTCTCTCTTCTTTCTAAAAAATTAAATTTCATAAACACCCCAGTCCACTTCCCACCACTACCTGAAAAAAGAAAAACAAAGGGGCAGGGAAGGAACATCACTCTGGTGATCCACATCATCATCTTGCTCCCAGGCCTCCTGCAGGAGGTGCTGATGGAACTGGCACAGCTCTTTGGCAACTCCAACATTGGACAATTCCAAACCCTGGTGTTCTGCTTTTCCCAATCTTCAGGAGACCTAGAGTCATGTGAGCATCCTGCAGTATCAATCACTTTGAAAAAACATAAGAATAACAAAGAACCAAATTTGACCACTACTGCCCCTTATTTTCCAAGAGTCATTATCTATTAAATAGTATTTTCACCCAAAAATATGATGTTCCCCCAACCCAAACCCTCTTGCCCAAACTAAGCCCAAGCTGCTGTCTCCAGCCACAGGCAGGGCATGGATTCTCATTCATCCATTCAAGAGAGTTATGAGTAAAGAGGAGCCCACAACCAGAAGGGAAACCTGGCTTTGTTCCATTGTCACCAGGGTTCTAGACAGTTCCTATCAGTTGTCCAGGTCTGATGAATTTAAAACTTAGTTGGGGAAAATCCAACTGTCTGGATGCCTCTAAAGGAGTCCATTCTTATAATAAAAAGTTCAATTTTACCTGTCACTTAAGCCTCTCTCTTCTTTGGAGGTTAAATAAAAGATGGAGGAAAAGAAGAGGATCCTTGAGTAGCTCCAGACACCACAAGAATGTACAATGGTTTCAATGAGGTACAAGAAAGAACTTCCTGAACTGTGAGGTAGATAAATAAAGGAAGGTTTTTAAAAATAAGGAAGATAAATTTCTCACATGAGATGAATCTTCCTGAAGTGTTTGAGTTAAAACCTGCTCCAAAAGAGAGGGATGCTTTCTATAACTATCAAGAGCATAGAATAAGCTAATTAACAGAAGGAAACAGAATGTAATACAATAGGAAAATATAATTGATCTAATGTGAAAAGACAGGTTGGAAATACAAATGGAAAAGACCTGAAAGCTTAGTTCCAACTCCTAGATCTCTAAATAGGAGTGATTAGAACAACTTCTCCAGAGCAGTAGGGGCCTTTGAATTTTTACGGTCTTCATCAGCTAGAAGTGATACTGATAAAGCCAAATTCAATGTTTTTATTTAAAGTGAAAATAGCATTTGCAAAATGCCTTTCTACACCTTTTTGTCTTTATGCCTTAATGACAATCACTTTTACCCACTCTCTGCCCACATCACCATCCTGCCCTGAATCATAGGAGCATCTGTAACACAGGCATTCGAATGCTTCCAGATGTTACGAAGATCTTCTCCTCCGAATTTAATTTCATTCTGTAAGTACCCAGCTGATTGCTATGCATAACAGTTTCCTATTTGCAGCTAAAATTTGGAAAGTAAATATTTCTCATTTATTTCCTCAAGGGAAATTTGTGATAACTTGTACATAACCACCATACCAGGAAATGCTTTTCAAGGGATGAATAACGAATCCATAACACTGTGAGTAAACTCCCAGAAACTCATTCTGCCACACAGCCTCCTGCTATTCTTACTTCTGGCTTGAGGTGAGCTCTTTCTCATGTTTTAACACCTTCTTCACCAACTGGTGACATCCTTCTCAACCTAAAATGCCAAGGATTGGGGGAGTGATATGGGATCACTGTTAGGTTATATATTCACAGGACAACTAATCACTCAATTCAGTTTAAAATCAATCAAATAGGTCCTAAAGATTTTCAGTACTAAATTTCCAGGTGATAAAATTGTTCAGTGAATCAGTGGAATGCTTTGAGGCTTGGAAAACACAGCCTAGAGGGTTATGGCTAAAGAAAGCACATGGCTAAAGAAACAGGAATTTCAAGGTTTCAACTGAGCAAAGTTTGGAAGGACACTCTCCAAGTAGGTAGAGTAGTTCATCAATGGACTTTGTTCTCTCCCTCTGATTTTTCACTTACCCCTTGGATCTCTCTCACTTTATGTTTGAAGTAACACCATCAATGCCCATTTCATGATGCTTCCTAAGGACCTGTCATTTAAAGTATCATCCATGAACTGACATCTTCAGCATCATCTGAGAGCTGGTTAGAAATTCAGACTCTAAGATCTGTGCAGACCCATTGATTTAAAATCTGCATTTTCACAGGATCCCAAGAAATTTACATGTAATCATAATTTGAAGGGCACTGTACTCAGTGCCCATACCCTTTACAATGCACCAGAGTGACTTCCTTCACTTAGAACACTGCCATCCCTCTTCACATGTATACTCTCCCTTGCCCACCACTCAGAAGCAGCATCCTAAGCACCATGTCTCATTTATCCAAAGCCCAGTGACATATATTCATTTCTGCTCCCCACATGCACATCCCTCTCACTCTTTCCACCTTAGTTACAGCCCATGGTGGGATTGTGATGAAGCAATAAATAAGCTCAGGGTGGGGAGTAGAAAATATGGATTGGAATGACCCTGGAGTAACGAGAAAGATGAAAGCAAGAGGAAAGATCGTCTTAACTCCCTTTTATAGCAATGGATCCTAAAAATTGGTATCAATGGCACACTGTATTTCTATAATACTTTTACTTTATGTGGATATAATTTTACACATATAATTGCCATGTTACAAAACTGTGACTAACATAGCCCCAGCTCAGACTGCAATCAAAAAGATACAGAGCAGCAACCAAACTAATTTTAAAATAACTTAAATTCTTTACTAGCAACTCTTGAACACTGGGAAGGAGACTGTGTAGATCCCAGAAATACTTTTCTATAGTCTTTCAGCTCCTGCCACTTCCCTCACACACTATGGCTCTGGCAGCTGTGTATAAATTGTTTCCAACCCACCATTGCATAATAGATTTATAACTATATATCATGTCCCCACATCCCCTGTTTCCACAGGGTATTCACAGCATGAACTCTGAGTGAGGAGACACCACATAGTTTATGACTTTTGAGTCTCACAATGCCTTTAGTGAGAACACAAAAGACATGACAATATTCATGTTAAGAAGCTTATAAACTCAATGAGGGTAGGAGACATGAAATAACAAAGGAATAATACAAGCCAGTAGATATTCCCCTCTAAGTGTGGGGTATGCAGAAATAAGGTCTCAGAGAATTCCTCTTGGGTTAGAGAACTCCAAGGAGGCTACATGGTGAAGCTGAGACTTGAATTGTACCTCACAGATTCAGTAGTATTTGTATGGGTAAATTTATTAACAGCAGCTAATATTTAGACAGCATTATTAAATGCCTGGACTGTTTTAAGTACCTTTTAAAACTCACTTAAGTTCCACAGCAACCTTATATGGTAAGGTTCAGCTCCACTTTTAGACAAGGAAACCAAGGCATGAAGGGCTTAATTATTTATCCAAGGCCAAGATTTGGACCCCGGCAATCTTGCTCCAGAGGGCATGTTCTTAACCATTATGTGGTATCAAAATAGAGATGGGGGAGTGAGGAAACAACAAGAGCAAGAGCATGGCCAGGGTGAGGCTCACACCTGGGAGTGAACATCCTGTTTAAGAAATGAAAGATGTTTCCAGATAAATGGCTAGGGTAGAGGGGACACTGGATTGCAGGGGTTTTGAATGCAAAGATAAAGGGGACAAGGCTTGGAAGAAACTCTGAAAAAACTAAGAAGAAACCATGTACTAGAGTAGCTTTTATGCAAAGATCAAAATATTCAAGACTTTCATCAATTTTATCCTAAATAATCAAGAACCAATAGGTAAATGTGCAGGAATGGGAGTGGAGTGGAATGAAAGGGCGGAGGCATGAGGGGCATACTGGGATAATCCAAAGGGAACTATGAGCTCCAAGACAGGGCCACCCCACCAAACTGAAGAGAAACCAAAGCTTCCTTTCAGACACCACATTCCAGTATGTATGCATAAGAGCTGCATGGTATTCTTTTTACAGGGACATTAACTTGTGTTGGTTATGAGTTTAAGAGGAATAGTACCTGCCAGTCGGGTGTAATTGCCCCACCTCTGAAGTTAATGAGGACTTCAAATTCATCTCTCCCAGAGGGCCTGTGAGGAACTGTGCTTCCATCCCCCCTCCTTAGCCTTGGCACTTCATCTGGAAGGGGAGTGATTAGTCATTTGCTTGGCACTTGTTCTCAGCTGAATGGGCCCTTCTGTGAGTGAAGGATCATGTGGAGCACCCTGCTGGATAAATGGTATTACACTTAAAGAGGAAAGCTTTATTTTCCCAGCTATAAAGTTCAACTCCTTAATTAGAAAATAATGAAAGCAAGCCTTCTCTTTTCATTATTAGTAGTATTTGAAATTTTGCTTCTAGTGGAACCTGTCCTGCCCCCACCCCACCTAAATCTTTACCAACTGTGATCTCATTTAATGAAAACAAAACACTTTACTTGATGCAGGAGAAGCTCAGTGGGGCTAATGCTAAAACTATGCATTATACTCTTATGTCCCTTTATAGCCACTTTGGCTTTTCATTAAATCTCCTCAAGAGGCCACCTTGAAATCCACCCCCACCCCCACCCCACTGCAAATGAGCAGCACTTAGCTGCACCACCTTTAAAATATTCTGGATGATTGGTGATACCAGTCTCAAAAAAGAGGCAACCTTTATTCACATCTGAAATCCAATAAGACAAGGGAAGGCCATGGTGATTTTTTTCTGAGATCCTTTGGAGAAGGAGTATCTGGTAAAGTATAGCAAGATTCCTGGCTGCACCCATGACAAGCCATAGTAGAGAGGCTGCTGGGTGTTCAAATAAAAGCCTTCATTTTAGTCCCAGCTTTGTGTCTTACCATCAAGCATGCTTAGCCAAGTCAGGCCACCTCTATGTGCCTCCCTCTCTGTCTATTCAATGGTATTATGAATGCATCCTTATGCAGATCCAATTATTATAATTAACTAGTTAAAGGCTAATATGCAGTAACCCACAACAGGTTAGTTATGTTAGATCATACTGAAAACACTTTTGAATATTTTTTATGTAAAAATTTTTTAACTTGGGCTAGGGAGGTGGCTCAAGCGGGAACGCGCTCGCCTGGCATGCACGGGACGCTGGGTTCGATCCTCAGCACCACATAAAAATAAAATAAAGATGTTGTGTCCACCGAAAACTAAAAAATAAATATTAAAAAAATTTCTCTCTCTAAAAATAATTTTTTAACTGACACATGACTTTCCATTTGTCTTTCCACTAACAAATAGAACAATATGATTAACATATACCTTACCTAGAGTCATCAACTATTACATGACTTACAAGGCACATGACTTTCCATTTGTCTTTCCACCAAGAAATAGAAAAAATGATGTGATTAACATGCCTATACCTTACCTAGATTCATCAACTATTACCAGCTTGCCACAGCCACTCCATCTATAGATGGGAGTATATACATTTCCCTTTTGCCAAATCATCCAGGAGAAAATTATAGAGATAATGATATTTTATCCCTAAGTACTTCAGCATGTATCTCCCCCTCCACATAGTACCTTTATCCTTAAGAAAATTACTGGGAATTTAATGACATCATCCAGCCCATTTTTAAGTGAAAATGTCTTGTATGGGTTTTTCAAAATTTAGCATCCAAAGTTTATGGATTGCATTTTTGCTGTTATGTCCAGCATTCAGTCCTCTCAACCTCATCTCCCATACCTCTTCCACACCTAGAACTGTCCCTTTGCCTTCCTCTGTTCTATAAGACACTGAACATGCTGAGAAGCTCAGGCTGCCTCGATTCATCTGACTGAATTGCCATGACCAGATTTAGGCCAGATATTTCTATCAGAGCACTGCAAAGGGAATGGTATGTCTCTCACTGCATCAAACCAGGAAGTCACACTGTTCCATTACTTGGCCACTTGCTTAAGATGTTGACAGTTAGACCTCTATTGTAAAGACATGTTTTTCCCTTTGTCATTTATAAGTAAATCATGATGGGATACCTGGTGGGATGTTCAGTTGCCTAACTATCTTTCAAGCAAATTTGATCACTCAAGTTATTTCAAAGGGAGTTACAAAATGGAAATTTTTACATTCTAGTATTCCTCTATATTTATTAGCCAGCATGTCTACAAAAAAGTGACTTCCTTTGTTGTTGTTGTTTCTGTTCCTCTCTCTCCCTTGCTCTTTCTAAATATCACTGTGGAATGTGGATTTCTCAGATAATGTATTCAATATATCAGAATTTATTACTGCCATCATTCTTTTTGATGCCTGTCACCTTCTTTATTACTACATATGGTAAAGTCATATAAGTTGGCATGAACTTGGCTGAGGTGAAGGGAAACATGAAAACTCAGCGCTGCTGAAAGACAGGCAGTTGTTCCATATCAGGGACAGGGATCCCTTGCTACAGAGACAGTGACACCCACAGAAAAGGGGACACCTTGACATACATTCAGAGCAAGTGTCATGGCAGCACATAGCAGTGATGGGGTAACAGCACACAATCACTGCCAATATATCTATTATTGAACTGTCTTCATATCTGGGGAATGCTTCAGAAATAGAAGGACTTCAGTAACATGCCACATGAGGAGCTACAAAAAGTTATTTGATTAAAATTGGCTTACAGATATCCAAACAGAAGAAGGTACACTTTTTGAGACCTCAAACACCTGCAAATGTAAATTAATCCTTCTTTGAAATATCCAAAAACTAGGTGACTATAAGATACAAAAGAAATACAGCAGCATATAGAAGTGCTACTTCCAGAAGTGCTTCTAGAACCCCAGGAATAATGTTTGTAATAAGACAGCATTCAGCAGCAGAATATCATCTGTGATTAATTTCTAAAGCCCAAATCTTATTTTGAATAAAAAAGATGCCATTCTCTCTGCTTGATTCGAAATTACTGACATTTGAAGAGAGAACCTAGACAATGCTCGCAAGCAAGGGGCTGCTATTGTGATAGAGGGGCAAGGGGGAAACCTCCATTTCTATGCCCCTGACAGAATTCTCCAGGCAAAGGGAACCCTTCTCATTTCATTCTGACACCATGAGATCTTGGGAAAAATTTATCTGAAGTGATCTCTAGATGTTTTGAAAGAGCACTGGAGGCATTGTGCTGGCTCAATAGTGCAAGGGCTCCCACTCATATATGTAATTCATCCAGAGAGGGGAAGCCACTCTTCTCATCAAAACGAGGCAGCACATGCCATTGTGTGCCACTGGGAAGAGCAGAGATGAGAAGCAGCTGAAAAAGAAACAGTGAGCCACAGTCTTTGGAAAATTGGAACAAGCAAGACCTGGGCTATAAAAAAAAAAAAGAAAGAAAAAGACATGAAAGTTATCTAAATGCAAAAACATCCATGATTCTGGCTCAGACCAAAGTATCTTGAGGGCACTCAGAGAAGGAAGACACTTTGGCAGTCCCAGCCACTGACCTAGACTGCTCTGCCCAAGAACAGAAGGGCACCTACCCCAAAGGAAGAAAAGAACAGTTCAATTAAACAGGTTGCTTGAAGTTCATACAAATCCTTCCCAGAGTATGGAAAGGTAGACCCTTTCTCTATGTTCTGGTAGATGGCTGGAGACTACTGCAAAATACAGTCATAATAAGATCAGCACAGGGTTAGGGTTAGGGTTAGGGTTACTGTTTCCCAGAACCTATTTCTAAGTGCTCAACATATGTTTGCCCCTGTAACCTTCAAGACAGCTTTATGGAGTTGATACTATTATTATCATTCCTACTTTCAGATTAAGAAACTGAGACACAGAAAGGTAAGTAAATTGCCAAAAGTTAGCTCAGTTTGTAAGTAGCAGAACTGGAACTGAAGCCCAGGCAGTTGAGCTCAATGCTTGCAGACTTAACCATGAGGCCTCACCTAAAGCAATGGCATTATGAATCCACAAAAAAAAAAAAAAAAGATAACCTAATGTAGGAAAACTTAGGATCAGGGCTGCATGCAAAAGTGAAGGGCAATGGCCACTGAGACAACTACAAGAAGCTTTGCTTTCCCCAAAACAAAGGAAGGATTACTTTTTCCTGATACACTAGAAATGTAGCTCCATCACTTAAGAGTAGATAAAGCAATGACTCTAGACTTAATATGGGGCAAAAGACATTCTGATTTGCACCCTAGAAATAATGAGAACCTCATCTTACCATGGTGTATTCTATGATGAGGGTTCCCAAACTGGTATGGCTGCCATTCAGTGGGAGCACTTGTCACAAAAGTGCATATTCCTGAATACCACTACTAGACCCTGACTCAGTGGGTCTGTAGTAGCCCTGGTCAATAGGCCTGAGTCTTCATCTTTGACAAATAAGTCCAAGTGACTGATTCAGTGGGTGGAGGGGAATGCTTTGACAAATACTGGCCTAGATTCTAAAAAATCAATTTTTTCAAAGAAGTTCATTGAAAAGACAGGTATGAAACTCTCATCTAAAAACGATTGCTGCTACACACAATGGTGTACATCTGTAATTCCAGCAACTTGAGAGGCTGAGGCAGGAGGGTTGCCAAGTTCAAGGCAAGCCTTGGAAATTTAACAAGACCTTGTCTCAAACTAAAAATTAAAATAGGCCGGGGCTGTAGCTCAGTGGTAGAGCACCCATGGAATTAATCCCTAGTACCAAATAAATGAATAAATAAGAGGGATTGCTATAAAGGAATTCAGCCACCCCAAACGACAGGTGTTTGACAAAGAATAATATTCTAAGTATAATTTTTTTAAAGCTCCCATAGGATTGAGCTACTAAGAAGGCAAGAAGGTTGTATACAATTTCCCAAAGCAACAGGTATATACCTAGTACCTATTCTCTCAAATTCTATAATATAAAAAGTAAGGAAAAATTATCAGAAAATGTCATCTCATAATCCAGTGCAGATCATAGTTAAGAAAATAGTGTGTGAAGCTGTAAAATCAGAGAATCCTAGAAGAGAGCAGGTGAGAGCAGGAGAAACCAGGGCGGTGGGCAGTGCTCTCTCTGCCATGGAAGGGCATAGCTATCGCTTCAGCCAGACCATGGACAGCTCCTTCCAGGTACTAGGCAGCATGTGAGGCCTCAGGTTTATGGGTATTTGTTTTTAATTAACATGTATTAATTATATATATTTATGGGGTACAGTGTGATATTTCAATATGTGATTGGTATATAATGTATAGAGATCAAACCAGGATAATCAACATCTCCATCTCTTTATAATTTCTTTATGTTTGGAGGCTTCAAGGTCCCTTTTTTCAGACTCTTCTTTAAATATATAATGAGATTTTAAGAAATAAATAAGCTTCCTTGCTCTCTTTGAACTCAATTTAATGAGGAGGCTTTCAGAATTATTTTGTAATGTCTATATTTTCTGAATTTTGTCGTTTGAATATCATACCTCAATATGAGTACCACCTCTATTTATTTGCTGATTTGTCTCAGATGTGATATGATGGGAAGAAATCAAACATATACATTCACTACATATACATACATATGACATACATATACATTATACACATTCATCTACAGCTCAAGGTTAAAATCTCTGTTCATTTTGTTTAATAAAGACTAGAGAAACCCCATGGACAACAGCCACCTAAAGTAGGAGCGAGTAGAGCAGAGCATGCATCTGAGCCATTTCTCAAGTCACTCCCCAAGTCTGTCCCTAAAATGGTCATCCAGCTGCCAATAACCCTGGAGAAGAGGCTAGACCTTGCTAGATATGGGATGCTCAAACATGTATTACATTCCAGTCATTTCTCACCTAGGTCTTGCATCATCATTCACAAAGAACCCATACAAATATTGCATGTAAGATAGTGGCTTTACAATTTGTTTGGTTTGATCAACAGTAAGAGATTCTTCTTACATAAGCTCATTTGTTCATCCAATTCATTTAACATATACTTATTGTAATACTGAAGATGCCAAGCATCTGTTATGAATGTGGAAGTTATGCTAGGTGAAAAGCAATTTAAAATCCTTTTTTCATGAAATTTATGCTCTGGTGGGGAAGAATAAGTAAAATAGCATCATGGGTCAGATCATGAAAAGAGATGGAAGAAAAATAAGTTGGGAAAGGGAGATAAAGAATTCTGGGGATGGGAGATAGGCATTTTAAATAGAGCAGCCAAAGAAGGCCACATTGAGAACATGACATTGAACTCAGCCTTGCAGGAAGACAGCAAGTGAACCTTCAGTATTTAGGGGTGGGAGGAAAAAACAATGATGTCTAATGCAAAACTGATATGTTGGAAGTGGCCCCAGACAAAGTGTATTCTGGTCCCATTCCTGCCAATGGTGGAAGTCATTTTCCCTCTCTGAGCCTATTTCCTTCTTTATAAAATGAGAGAGTGTTCCTGCTCCTTGAGCCCCTCCAGGCTCCTTTCTGGTTCTAACATTTGTCAATGTCTGTGTTCTAAGGATTCTCTTATGTCTTAGTCTGGGTAGATGTGTGTGCATATATGTATGCACATGTGTTAAGTGTGTTTATATGTGTATGCCATAAAAATTCTGAAACAACATTTCATAAACATTCCTAGCCTAACTACTCGTAATACACAATAATATTTTCCATTTGTTCTATTCTATTTCACTTTTGAAAATGCTGATGGCACTCAACTAAATTGATTTCACTGTCCACTAATGGTTCTTACAGAACTCTTTACAGATGTTTACATCTTCTTGGCTTTGGAATCAACTCTGGCATCCACAAAACCACCTACTCAACCAAGAAAAAGAACAGGTGGATCAGTGCTGGAGCTTTGCTCTGCCCTTGGCTTTCAGCAGCCCAGAGATACCACAGCCACAAAACCAAAGGCTGAGTCTCTGGCCTCAGATCACAGCTCCACCACCGCTTTCCTTTCACAATAAGCAAGCTGCACGGCAACACTGATGCTTGGCTCTCTTTTCAGGATAAAGGAAATAATGATGAGAATTAAATCATAAAATAGGCATTCAATGACTGGTCAAGTATCTGGCACTTAATAAACACTTAATAAATTAGTGATGGTGGGGATGGAGGAAGTAGAGGGGAAACCAGAACAAAAAGAACAGCTTCTTCCCTGCATGCCCTTAGAATCTAAAATGTTGGAGGAATCGAGCTAGATATTGTGAATGCCAGTGATTATCTCAGTAATAAATGTCACAGGAGGAAGAATGTGTGCTTCCAAACTGGGTTTCTATCAGTTCTTTCCCATTTCTAAAATCATCTCTTCTCCCTCCTTCAGCAAACTATATGGAAATGGATTTGAAGAAGTACAAAGTCATGCATTCAATGGAACGACGCTAATTTCACTGTAAGTATGTGCTTATTTCCCTAACTCATGAATAAAAATGAAATATCACTCTGGCTACCAGATCATATTCAATCTTCAGCAACTAACTCAGGGCAAAAATAAACTTTCAAGTGGCTAGTCCTCAGTGTTTTACGCATGTTACTAGGCAACCGGCTGGCTGGAAACCCCAGAGCACCCTGATTTCAAAGACAGATGCAGCCTCAATACATTGAAGTTGACAGTTTGCTGAAATATTCAACACCTTACTTGATGCCTCCTCCATAGCACAGCTTCCCCCTCTATCCCCCTCACTCAGGTTGATGGTGTGTTAGAGGCTGCATGATTTTAGAAAGAAATTCTTCCCCAGGCCTCACTGCAGAGAAATCGGGTGACACCATTTACCAGCCTAATTAGTCTCAAAAGCCCCACCCAGAAAGGCTATCTCCCTCCTACTCAGAGGGAGGAAGCCCCTGTTCCCAGGTGAGGGAAATCACCCCATCCTAATCCCTAGCCTAACAGCCTCTAACCCAGGGGGAGTGACCCTACTCATTGTCCCCTTCTTCTCAACCTCTCTTTTTTTTCCCCCTGTGGTTCCTCTTTTAGAAGAGTGGCACATTCCCAATCCCATGGGGACATGTGACCCATCACAAGTACAGGATGAGGTGCCAAAAACCATACAGTTGGACATAGTAAAACCTAAGAGCACACAAAAAGTTCAACTAAAACCAAATTTTAGAAAAACCAACAAAAATGCTTTTTAAAGAAGTAATTTCTATAAACCATGATCTATACCATATAGGTCATATATGGTGTATACATAGATACTTCTCAAACTTGAACACACATGAGAATAACCAGTAGATTGTTAAAAAACAGAGATTCTCTGGGCCTTACCCACAGAGATACTGATTCAGTGGATCTAGGTAAGGTCTGGGAATTTGCAGTTTTAACTAGCTCCCAGGAGATCCTGGCACTGGCAGTTTGAAGTTAAGTAGCACAACTCTATATGAAATACTAATTATTTTAACTATAGATATTAAACCAAAGGCCCCATTATGTTGATACTATATAGTTTGGTGGTTAAGAGAACAGGCCTAAGGGTCAAAGTCCAACCCCACTATTTATCAGCTTTATGAAGCTGAGCAAGTTCCACATCCCCTCGAAGCTACAGTGTACTCATTAGTAAAGTTGAGCTGCTAAGAGACTTGAGGATACCTCCAACAAAATGGAAGGTTTGCTTTGTATCCTCAGTACTTAAAATGGTGCCTGGCACATAGTGTGTCCTTTATTTAATTTTTATTATATTTTACAATCAATGATGAATAAATAATTAAATAAGATTATATTTTTATGAGGTCATATAGGATCTGGTACATACTAAGTACTAGAGAAATGGTAGCTTTTTAAAAGTTGTCCTTTCATTCCTCCCAAATCATTCCAGTCCTGGTTGATAGGAAATTTCAGGGGAGGACCCCACGTGGAGGACCCTGGGGCTCTCTCCCACACTTTGTCTAGCTTCCAGGCTTGTTTGCTGTGTTTATAAAGACATTGACCCTGGACTTAGCTGGGGAGGGAGCTCTGTCTACATACCACCATCCATCCCAGAGCCAGGGGTCTGTTTGTAGTTGTTGGTTTTTTTGTTTTGTTTCTTCTGTTTTGTTTTGTTTTGTTTTGGGCAACTGAGCATTTCTCTTCTGTACAGGACCCAATACAAACTTCCTTATGATTTGAAAACACACACACACACACACACACACACACACAAAAGTTGTCCTTTCAATCATGGACTGAATCTGCCCTCATTTTCTCCTCTTGGCTTGATTTAATGAAGGGTTGATTAACAAGACCCTGGAGTTGGTGAAAGGTTTACCCTGGCCAATTGAATCTGTTTCTGTCAAACTCAGATCAGAGGCATGTATAGCCTCTCCTGGTCTAGTATTCTCAGATGCCTCATTCTATCATTCACTCAACAAAGGTCTAGCAGGCATCAGCTGTGTTTGGAGGAACATGCTATATTTTGAGAAGAAATGAAGATGAATAATCACTGGGGTCTGCCCCATAGGCATTTACAGCCAATGAAGAAGAATTTCCAAATGGTACATTATCTGTACACTAAGTTGTAGCTAAAACAGAAGGCAACAGTGTGGCACCTGCACTGGGAGAGGAGAGTCCCCTGGGATTTCAAAGACAGGAGGAAAGGAAGTTACAGCAAGCCTGGTCAGAGGTGGGCTTTAAGCTGGGCCTAATTGGGGCAGACAATGAGGGTAAGCAAATGTATTCCAGGCAGAAGGCAGAAAGAATAGCCCAGAGAAAAGAAGGAAGCAGGGGATGTGTTCATAAACCAACAAACAGTACTGTGTACAAAGTGGTGGACGTGAGTTAGGGTCAAAGAGGGAAGAGCCTCGATGCCAGAGTAAAGAATTTGGACTCTGTAGAAATGAGAAGCCATTGAAAGTTCTTGGATGGAAACTATGAGAAGTGGGCATAAAGAAAGTTCATGTATTAAGAGGAAGGACAGAGGCTGGAAGAGACAGGGCAGGTATATAGACACAAATATTGGGATTTTCTGAACAAAGGGTATCTGAAGTCCTTCGTGACTGATGTCACCTAGACAAGGGAGAAAATAAGAGGACTGAATATGCAATTAGGAGAAACAAGAGATGAGGAATAGAAGCCAGAGCAAGAGCAAAGAGAGGTAGGAGGGAATCCAGCAGAGCACAGCTTTGGGAGGTCAGGAAAAACAGCAGGAGGAAGTATTCAGGTACTCCATAGTGTCTCAGCTGTCACAGGGGTGCCAAAATGAGAACTGTCCAATTAACTAAAAGTTTGTATCCTCCTGTACCTCATATAGCAAGAAAGAAGAAACAAAAATATCCAGATCAGATTGCCAAGAACACAAATTAATTTTATTCATGTATTCATTCAACAGATGTTTATTAAGCACCACCAATATCTTAGACACTGTGTTAAGTGCTGAGTCTACTGCCTTCATGAAATTTCTTTTCTAGCAAACGAGTCAGACAAAAAAGGAAGTAAATAGATAAATAAAGTTATTAAAAGTAGTCATATGTGTTATGAAGAAATAACCCATTAGGAGATCTGAGAGAGTACAGAAGATCAATGACTTGGACGAGGTAGTTTGGGGAAGGCCTCATCAAAAACATGATAATTAGGTTGAGCTCAGAGATTGAAAAGGAGTCACCATGGCAATAGTGAGGAAACATATTACTGAAAGCAGAAGCAGTGTATGCAAAGGACCTGAGTTGGGAAAGAAAAGAAGCTGGCAAGTACCAAGAACTGAGAAGAAGCCCCTGTGGCTAGAGGGTCTTCAGCAAGAGGAAGACTGGCATGAGATAAACTGGAGACATTGCAGAAGCAAGTCCTGAAGGACTGACAGGCCAGCAGAAGGAGTGTGAATCTCTTCTAAGAGCAAAGATACACACTGAAGAGTTTAAACAAGACTGAGGGAATAGTTTTCCAAACTGTAAAAACAAAATTCTTAAACTATACAGTCATACTGCTGTCATATATCATATATAACAAAGTGGAATAAATTTAAAAAAAAAAAACTATACATTCAGCCCAGTCTCTGACACCTCCCTCATGTCCAGAGTTGTTTAGAGCAATGATGGGGAAGTCTGCAACATGCTCAGACACCTACTCACTATGGGTGGCCAGGACAGAGAGGAGCAATACCAGAAGCCCACCTCAGATACCTGCAGGGGGCTGGCAGTCAGTCCCTCCCATTCTCAGAGCACACCAGTTAGGAGGCTTTGGTGGAGCTTGTGGGTTCTCACACTGTGCCTCAAAATGTTTGCCTGTCTCTGGTTCTCACACCTGGTTAGTCATGTCACTTGGGAAAATCCTCAAAAGATGACCCCCAGGAAAATGTGCTAAATGGATTTATTTTTTGACAAAGTAACATAAGGCAGAGTTACCAGTACACAGAAAGAGCCAAGTTTTAATAAAACATGTGAAATGCTCTGTCATGAAATTCAAACAATTAATTTGACCTGGCTGACATGAGGATTATCTGCTCACTGGGCCCCATTTCAACGATTTATAACTATAACTGAACATAATTAAAACAAACTGAATCAGGAAGAAGAACTGTGGAGGTTTAGGAGGGAAATTTTCTTTTGATTTAGATTTTAAACAGCAATTGACTCTGACAACCTCATCTCTTTGAAAGTGAAAGTGCACCCAGGGGATGGGAGGCTGCGAGACTGACAGGTGCATTCTGATGAAAGGCTGAGGGCTTCGGAGGAAAAGGCTGAGTAGAAGCGTGTGGAAAACCACCACCCAGAGAATGAGATGCAAGGGCTCTTGCAGTTTCTAACTGGCAGACATGATATGCAAACGTGCAGAAAGCTGGTGAAGGAGATGTAAAGTTATGAGATGAGCACTAGTGATTCCCAGTCTTTCTGCAGGGGAGGGAGTGGCTGTTGCTGTCTTTGTTTTGCTGTGTCACACTATAATGATAATGCAGAAGACTCATTCCCATGGTGCAAGTCATCACACTAATAATGGATGCTTAAACATTGTGCCTACTATCCAGGGTTTCCAAAATGTTCTTTTAGATACAACTCTTATTGGAAAAAAAAATACTCAAAAGAAGGCTGGCAGGCCTGAGCCCAGGGACTCCTTTTCTAGGTCTCTTGTCCAACCAGCAAAGAGCCTGGTGCTCAGGAGACCCTCTGCATCAGAGACTGGACAAGAGGTCTCTTGGCAGGGCCAGCCTGTGCTGTTCCTCAGTAATTTAGCTTGAGCTGCTTTGAGCTATGGGGCACAGAGCCCTCGTGTAGTTACTGCCTCAGCAGTTTTGGGATTCATGCACTTTTCAGAATAGTGGCCCTTAGCACTGTTGTTTGCATAATACACACACACACAGTTGTCTATGCGGTACAGACCCATACACAGGGTATGGGGCAATTGTCTCCTCAGGCTGTGATCTCACCCCATGCTCACCCCCTGAGAAATGCAAATCTGAAAGAAAAAGAATGCAACTTATGACAAGGTTGACTTTGAATAAGCCCTACTTTTTTGGTTAAGTATTTGCAAACTTCAATATATTACTATTGACAAACTGAGAGCCCTTCAAGGTCACTGCTGCTGCAGGTCTGACACAGAGCAGGCTGCCCATTAACACTCCAGTCTTGGCCTCTTGGAGCAGCCTTTCATCCTCACCCAGCTGTCTGGTAGCAAACTCTCACAACTCCAGGACAGGAGGGGTGAGTTGTGCATTGTAGGACAAAGGGCTGCACCAAGTGAGGGAGACATTGCAGAGAAAAGGTGGAGTCAAACACATATGCCAGCAATCACACAATTTCAGCAAGGGCCAGCATGTCTTTTTTCCACTTTTCCTAGAGTTCCTCTTTCCCCCTCCTAATCTTGCACACTGTCCAAAAGTGTGTGCACACATAAGGTGCAAACTCCACTAAGGAAACCATTCTTTCCCACAGGGAACTAAAAGAAAACATTCACCTGGAGAAGATGCACAATGGAGCCTTCAGGGGGGCCACAGGGCCCAGCATCTTGTGAGTACAGTGGTGTTGCCTCCCTTTCCCACCCAATGTACCCCGACTGGCCTAGTCAGTGTGCTCAGCCACGTCATGCTCAGCCTGGTTTGCAAAGCATCAGCCTCTGCAGCTGAAAAGTCCCAATGTATTTGGCATGCCAATAATAAAGCACCACATATTGACTCTCAGCTGTAGAGTCTAGAAGTCCAAAGACAAGGTATCAGCAGGTTAGGTTCCTTCTCAGGGAAGTGAGGGAAGAATCTACCAGGCCTCTCTCTTTGCTTCTGGTAGTTCTTTCTGGTTGTGGCAGCATAACTCCACTCTCCCATGGCATTCTGTGTGCATGTGTGAGTGTGACTTCCAATTTCCCCTTTTTGTAAAAAAAAAAAAAAACAGGCATACTGCATTGGGACTCGGCCTAATGACCTCATTTTACTTTGGTTAGCTCTATAAAGAGCTTATCTCCAAACAAGGTCATATTTGAAGGGACCAGGGTTAAGACCTCAACATATGAATTTGAAGGAACTATAATTCAATCAGTACTACCAAATATGGAGGGTAGTTTCGTGTGCTAGCAGACAGGATGGCTACCTGCCTGGGATCCACTCATGGAATCCAAGGCCAGAATTCTGACTTGTCCTTGGCACTTGGCGTATCACACTCTCAGATGATACAATGACTGAGCCATGCTTCTCAGTTTATAGGAGTTTAGGGTAAGGACATGTGGGAAAATTAGGAGGAAAAGGAAATCGAATCAGTAGTCTGGTGAAGCCTTGAAAAACCTGAAACATCCTGCAGAGGAGAATTGCAGCTGCAGGCAGGGCTCAGAGAGACAAGGTTCCAGATGCTCTCCAGCTCTAACTTGGGAGATCACTTCACCCTCTCCACAAAGGTGCAGTCCATTACTTCCCACTCTAGTGAGCTGATATTCATTCAACAAACCCCTCCTGCTCACCAAGCACCAGGATGGAGAGACAGTGTTGAGCAAAAAAGCTCTAGTCCCTGTCCTTAAAGAGATTACAGTCACACAGGAAGACAACAATAAAGAGGCAAAGCAATAAATAGGTCATTTTAAAATGTAAAAAAAATGTGCTAAAAAGCAGGATAACTTAGTTTATTTGTTGATCCATTCATTCATTTGTTCAACAACTCCTTTAAGAGCTCAAATCATGTGCCAGGCATTGGATTACACAACAGGGAAATAGCACAGAATGAAACAAGACAAACATCTTCTCCTTTATAGAATAGGGAAAGACAGACATGTAGGAAGCCACATGGTGTCAGTTACAGAGGTGAAAAATTCAGCTAGAGGGCGGGAAAGAAGTTCTTGAGAGACAGAGTTACCATTTTAAAGAGGATGGCCAAGGAAGAGTGCCTGAAAAAGTGTCAGTTGAACAAACATGTATGAAAGGAGTGAGGAAGCAAATTGTGTGAGTATCCGGAAGAAAAACATTTCAGGAGACAGAACAGCAAGAGCAAAGGCCCTGAGGCAGAATCTTGCCTTGTGTGTTTGAAGAATAACAAGGAGGCATGGCAAAGGAGTGAGTAAGGGAACATAAATCAAGAGAGGTGACAAAAAGCAGGGTCACAGGATCTTGTAGCCACTAAAAGGCTTAACTTTGCTCTAAGTGAGATGGGGAGGCTTCATAATTTTGATCAGAAGAAGGACATGAACTGTCCCAGTTATTCTTTATATCCTAGATCTTGCCAGGATCAACCCAGGACTCTCTCCTACCACTATAAACCCCAAACTCTTGTCCACTTCCTACTTCTTTCTGCTGTCAAGTCCAAACACCTACCCACACCTGCTCTACTTTCTATCCAGCCACTGCCTAGCTCCCACAACTACCAATTCCACTCCTAGCTCCAGTGGCTATTTTTTCTGAATATAATTTCCTCCCCCATCAACCTCTGGCTCTTCCTAACACCCACCACTAAAATTTGGGATTCTTTCTGTTCTCCGACTTTTGCCGCAATCAATCCTAACTATTCAACCTCAGGGCTCCCTCTAGCTGGTGCTTCCTGCCTGTTGCTTTCTCTGTTGTCTCCCAGCTTCTGGCCACTAGGCCCTAAGAGATCTTTTCTACATGTCCTCATACTAGAAAGACACCAGTCTTGCAGGCTGGCTGAATACTCCCCATCTTACCCACCCCCCACTGGCACTGGACAGCGTGCTGCTTCTGGCTCAGTACAGAACATGACTGTTAGGGTGGCTGGAAGAGCCCTGAGTGACAGTCCTGAAGAGCTGCTTGGTGGGCTGCTTAGGAATGACTATGGGTACTGCAGGTACCTATGCTGTCATTTTTGGAACAGTGGGGCTAGACCTAGGTCTCTTCATTCCCAAGATCGAGTTCTCATTGCACCTCCACGATTGAGATGGTGTCTAGAAGCATCCTTTCTGCCCCTCAATATTATATTCCCCCTACCCCAATCTGTCACTGAGACTGAAAATCCACTCTCAGTGTTCCTCCTTTGTAATAAGGTCTTGCCATTTCTAAGATCCTAATTTTAAACATACACACTCAGAAAAAAAAAGCAAGACTGCGAAGAGTTCTGTGCTCAATCCCTAACACAGCTGAAATGTTAACTCTGTAAAGCAGAATGAGAATACTGGTTTACTTAAATCAACCAGGACATAGAAGCAGTAGGAAGTCTGAAGCTCCTGAGGTAAATTCTGCTGTCTATGCCAGTCACATTCCATGTTGTCAAGTTCATGTTCCATCCATCACCTATTGATCCCCTCCCACACACTGGGCACCAAGTACTGGGTCAGACTGCTGAGGGGTGCTGTACTGCTGGAAGTCTCAAGGGGCACCAGTAGTAAGTATTTAGAAAATGAGCAGAATTTTTGAATTCCCACTGACTTCTCCCTGATTTTTTACACGTTTGCTATTTTCTTGGACATGGCCTCAAATCTAGTAAAACTGAAGAGTTCAGGTTATTTGCAGAGCCCCAGACTTCCTTCCACACAGCTCTGCTTACATGGCAGAAGTGTTTGCTTACTTTGGATAGATGCATCCAGCCTGGCCACTAGAAAATATTCAGTTTCCCAGGCAGATTATGGTAAATGCCACAAGGCGGCTGTTAATGAAGTAGCCAGCCTAGGTTTCATGAAAACCTCTCCTGCAGGGCTTCATAAATCAAAGGCATCAAAGTCCTGAATATTTACCCCAGGAATGAGCAAAAAAGCTGATGTCACTGCATGTGTCCACTCTCTCAGAAAGCAAGTAGTTATTTCACTTCTACTAAGTGGAAGAAGGGAGAAAGAGAATGGGAGAAGGGAATCTAGAGAGGGAAGATTCAAGGCAGGTACAAGGAGTTACACTCAATCTTGAAAAGAATAATGGGGTGCACATGAAAGGAAAAAACACCCATGGAATGACTTTTTTGAATTCAGATCTTAATAAGGGTAACTAAGAGAAGTAAAGGAAAAACAAAAATGGAGAAAAGAGTTCTAACAACTTAGAATGACAGACTATTGAGGGGAGGTTTCGTTCTCTGAATAAGATGTATAAAATAAATAAATAAAAACGTTTTCCTTCTTTATTGTTCAGGGATATTTCTTCCACCAAATTACAGGCCCTGCCAAGCTATGGCCTGGAGTCCATTCAGACGCTAATTGCCACATCATCCTATTATCTAAAAAAATTGCCATCGAGAGAAAAATTCACCAATCTCGTGGATGCCACACTGACTTACCCCAGCCACTGCTGTGCCTTTAGGAACTTGCCAACCAAAGAGTAAGTAGGGCTGGGGTTGCAGCTCAGAGGTGGAGCACTTGCCTCGTACACATGAGGCACTATGTTCGATCCTCAGTACCAACATAAAAATAAATAAGTAAAATAAATGTATTGTGTCCATCTACAACTAAAATTTTAAAAAAATATATTAAGAGTAAGTAAAAAACAAAATGTAAAGCCAACCCATGTGGCAGAGACTCAGCTCTCAAGATAGTCAACTAATGGGGATCTCTCTCTACTTTTACTCCCTGCCTTCCAGGCCAATTCCATAATCACGAGGTCACTCTCAGATACAGAAGAAAATGAGCTCCCCTGTTTTCTCACAAAAAAAATGCTACCAACCAGGCATGGTGGCACACACCAGACAGCATCTTGGTAGGCTGAAGCAGGATCACAAGTTCAAAGCCAGCCTCAGCAACTTAGCAAGGCCCTAAGCAACTTAGCAATACCCTGTCTCAAAATAAAAAATAAAGAGGACTGGGAATGGACTGGGAATGTAGCACAGTGGTTAAACATCCCTGGGTTCAATCCCTGGTACAAAAAAAAAAAAAAGTGCTGCCAAATCACTTACTGACCCTGTAACCACAAAACCTCAGTGATCAATTCTGGGCTAACTGAATGATACCAACTTTAGCAATTACAAAATGAAGTATAAAACCAGCATCTCAAAGATCAATTAGTTCCAATCCTCATCAGAGAGCATCATCTTTAAAGAAGTGGGGGAAGTAGGCTAAGAAGAGTAAAAATTAGCTAATATCTTATTTTTTAGTAAATATGGACCAAAAAAAAACTATAGAAGGGGTTTTTTAAAGTTATTTCTCACTGAAGAACATCATTCATTTCAAAAAGAAAGCCAAATTCCCTAAGGATTAACGTAGCATGCAAACAGACAGGGCATTCGCTCCTGGCTAGTTTATGTCCAGTAAACTGCATCTTACTGATTTGGTTCATTCCAGAATGGGGGACAGGATGGTAAGATTTCATTCCCTCCTTTAGAGGGTTGTTTTCTAGATTTTTTTTTGACTGAGACTCATAGTAAAAAAATACCTTTTTTGTATTGAAGCCAATACACTTATCATATATGTAACTGAAATAAAACAAAAGCAAAGCAATATGTAACTTTTAAATATGTGACATAATCTGATACTTTCCATCTTACTCCATTCTATTTCATGTTTGTTTTTACTACCAGTCATGATGCATTCTACTGTTTTCAAGATCCACTAATGGGACACAACTCATGAGTGTTGGAGGATTATTACTGCAGTCTATGAAAATATTCTCAATCAATTAATAAGGCACTGAGACAGTGACACCAGGCTGCTGCTGGTTTTGTTTGGATTCAACTTCTTTATAACTTATTTATAACCAGCATGTATTATGTGTGCTTTGCATAGGTAAACTGAGCTGAGAAGACAAAACACTTGCTGTGTTCAAAGTTATGCACCACTAACTGAGCTTCAACAAACATTAATTGAACACTTACTGTGTTCTAAACACTGGGCCAGGTCTGAAGATGAAAAGATGAGTAAGAGTTCAGTCCAATTTTCAGAGTATAGGGCAACACACAAATAACCCAATATCTACACAGAATATAGCAGATGTTATAACATAGTTGAGAACAAAGCAGAATGTTCTGGTAGCACAGAAGAACAATTTCTAAATGGTAGCAGGGTTTAAGGAAGGCTTCCTAAGGGAGGTGATTTGTGCTGAGCTGTGGAGAGCAGAAGAGGGGGAAAGCATGCCAAGAAGATGGAATTTGTCATATAAAAATATAAATACAAGAGACACTAGATGAATGTCATTCAGAAAAAGCAGAACAAGAAGTCTTATGGGTGTGTGGAGGAAAATGTGTCAGGAGAGAAGCCATTGAGAATTGGGCCATGATGGGTTCTGAGTGCCAGCCAACGTTGTCTAGAGGATAGAAGGGCATAAATAATTTAAAGCAAGATTACTCAAATTTGCTTTCACAAACTATCACCCTGGCAAGCAGGGTGAAGGATGGGCTGAAGGTGACCAAAGCTGGTGAGTGACCAGTGTAGAGAAAATAGAGATGCTGAGGTATGGTAAAGCTGATTCTGGATACCTACACTATGTGGTGTAGAGGCCACATCCCTTCTGAAAGTAATAAATTGTAAAACTTTAAAACTTCTATTACAGTAGATGAAAGAGACTATTTCTGGTTGGGGGAGGATTGCACAATTATGGACCAGCATCAAGGTAAGATGAGAACATAGTTACACAGAGATTGTCTTGATTAGAATTACAAGCTTTAACTAATTCCTTCTGTGACCCTAAAGCTTAAAGCCTTAGATAACAGTGAGGATGGAGAACCTCAAGTAGGGCCTATGAGATGTTGGTGCAAACTTTGAGTCATCCCTCTGCCTGGACAACTCACACAGCTGCCTGGGCAGATGGCTCCCAAGACTTCTTTGGTATCTATAATTAAAACTTTAAAGAAGATGGAGTGGACAGTACCTAATATTATCATTTAAAGACCAAGAACAAGCACATATCTTGTTAACTGTGGATTTGTTTCCACAAAAGAGCTCTCAGTGTCAGATACTCAAAGCCAACATGTGAATCCATCCACCATCCCCCCACACACACACATATTTGATACATTTTAAGAATTTACAATCATAACCCAAAATAACAAGTTGATTAATTTTTGAAAGTCTGGCACATCAAATAATTCTGACATACTCCCCAACTTTCTGCTTTTGTACAAAGTTATTTCTACAAGGAACTGTCTCATTGATACTGCAGAAGAACAGCTCAAGAGAAATGTCCAGTCTTTCTTGATTAGAATTACAAGGACAGCCTTGTAATTGGACAGCCTTTCTCTTTCTTCCTCAGTGAAAGCTGAGGCTCTTGGAGCCTGCTCTCCTTTATCCCAACTCTTCATTCATTTTTATCCCTGCCATAGGTTTCATCCCTAGGTAAATACTCCTTTAGGCAAGTTTACACACTTTCTTTGGTTTTCTTGGCATTTCTCCCCTTTCCATAAGCTAAACTTCTTAGAGGTGAAGATGGAAGTGCAGGCAGCGTCCACATAGGTTTCTGCCCATAAGCAAAAAAAAAAAAAAAAAAACCCAAAAAACTAAAATTCACATTGATCTGTCATGTCAAACATCCTTAAATCCTTACAAGAAGAGTCTCTGTTATAATTCAAAGTCATAAACTCTGAATGATTATTAATCAAGGCCAATATGGACAGGAGAGTTGGTAAGTAGCAAACTTTAATAGACCATTAAGGTAGCTTTTAATAAGCATTAAAAAAGAAAACTTAATTCACTATGACAATTTTAAGAGTTTTTATCTCTGGAGCCCACACAAAACATTTAGCATTCAGAAGCATTCTATCTAAACTAGAGGAGCACTAATAACAACTCAGAAGGCTTTACTCTCTCCTCGGGAAGCATTTCAGTTAGGACAATGGTGCAGAAAATGTCCCCTGGTGTATTAGGTAAAGAACTAGGATGAACAAAGCATAAATAGACATGATTAGGTTTAGTTTAAAAACCAAAAGCTCAATTGCTTTTTTTTTTTACTTCTTCTCTTTCAGACAGAATTTTTCATTTTCCATTTTTGAAAACTTTTCCAAACAATGTGAAAGCACAGTAAGAAAACCAAATAATGAAACACTGTAAGTATTTGCATGCAAAGAAACTCAGGAAGCCATGTCTTACTCTGTGTGCGCCTTATTATTATCAGTACCAACGACTTTCTTTTGATAAAAGTATTGGTTAAGGTATTGTTTGCAAGATATTTTTTAATAGTTTAAAATGGAAAATTCTTTTTGCAAGTAGCATCTAGTTGTACAGGTATTTTAAATGGTTTTTAAGAAGCCTATTTTTAAAATGTACCTGAATGTTCATTCTACATTTAAATTAAAATTTTTAAAAATTAGTTTTATTTTCAGGTATGTGCATATCACTAAAGGCTGATCTAAATAATAAGTTTCATTTGTAGGAATTTTCAATAGTCACATGGTCAGCATTCCACAAAGGTAAACTGATTGCAGACATAGCTTTTGAAAGTAACCAATTCCTTTCAAAGGGACTTAGGATACATGACCACTATACCCCTAAGCATTAAATTAATCATAATGCCATCATCACCATCATACACTGGACAGGAGCTACATTTCCATTCTACTAATTTTTAACGTTTTTCCTGCTTTAAATACTGTCTGCCTTGGCATTTCACTTACCTTCAATTGTAAAAGAGCACACTTCAAAAGATAATCCCAGTGTCCCTATGCCACATTTAGTGAGATTTAGAAATATTATTAGTCCTCCCATGTGTCCTTAGACAAAACCAGGTGCCCCTCTAAGAGACCTTGCCAATTTCTATTCTTTTTCTCTTCTCTCCTCCACCCCCATTAATCTCTGAGTTACACAGAGGCAGCAGGGCTGTGTGGGGAAGGCCTGAGCTTCAGGGTTCCTCAGAGTTTGACAGCAATGTTCCTGCAATGTGTGGGGACTGCTGAACAATAAATTTCTTTTTGAAACTTTTGCCCTCATCTATAAGCAGCAGCATAAATATCATTTGGCTTTTAGAAACATAAGAGTGATAGGAGTTGTAAAAGAATGTGATAGCATCAGCATAGGTTTTATTCTTATTATTCAGTCTCCTTCGTTTCCTTTCATTTGGGTCTGACACTCTGTCCTCCCACGTTCCTTTCCTCCACTGGTCCCTCTCTTCTCAATACCACTCACCTTCCACATGACTCTCTGGCAAACACATGGCTTTATACTCATCAATGGGAAACCATTTCTGGGTTCAGTCAATGGTGGCACAAAGGGATGTTTTGTAGGTGGAAGAGAAACTCTAACCCACACTCAATAATCTTCATCAGCCCCCACCCCAAGCTTTCCCAAATAAGCGTGCAACCTCAAATGTACTATGCTAATGCTACTTTAAGACAAATCCCCTAATCTCTAACATCCCCAAAATTACACAAAATTACACATCCCCAAAATTACACAACATCATACATAATCTAAGTTAAATAGCTCCCTGTGAAAACATTTTTAATGATAAATCCCCTACCTCCCATTTCCCACCAGAGAGCTAGTCTCTGGGGTCTAAAGCCAGCCACTAAGCCTTATCAGTTCTTCCAAGATAAGATTGGTACTCTCACTGCTGTGGCTGACCCCACTATCCTAAAATTCCCACCTTTTCCCTTTCTTTCTTAATTGTAACTGGAACAGTGGTGCTACTGTTTCTGCCTCCTCTAACTGGGTCCCTGTGAGCCACTAACATTCCCTGTCATAGCCTCCAGTACTAAGGACAGTTCCCTGCTGGGCTTTTCAATAGGCAACAGGCTTCCCTCAGGAGCCATCCCTGGACACACTTGTTAGTAGCAGCAGGTGGGTATTTGGTTTGAAGACAAATGGCTAAGGAGAAAAACTACTAGACATATGACAGGTAGGGCAAAAGAAGAAAGGACAAAGGACCAAGGAGGAAGGAGGAAGGGAATATGTTGAACCTTTTATTGATTTTAATTTATTCAGAAATCATGCCAGAATTTTTAGAAATTTTAAATTATTTCTTCTAGCAGCTGAAGTAGTTTTGATTAGGGGAAAGGAGTAAAGGCAATCAAGACAGCAAGAGTTGAAACATTTTTACCTGATTTTTGGCCTGTATTTTATATGAATCATCCAAAGAACCTGCTTAAATTGCAGATTTCTGGGCTCTGTCTCTAGAAATTTTGAATCAGGGCTTGCTTGGAGTGAAGCTAGGAATCTACAGTTTAACAAATGTCCTAGTGATTCTGATGCAGGTGGTGAGGACCACACTTTGAAAAACACTAACAGATAGTGAGGTGTAGAGCAAGGGCCTCTGGACAGTGGATGTGGAACCCCATGCTGCCACGGTCCTCCAGAGGGACCTCGGGTAAGTCACTCCCTAATAAAATGAAGACTCAATGACATGGTGTGTAAGGACCTAACACTAATTTTAATAGTTCTTTATAACAATCTTTTCTCTTTAGAGATTAAAAATAATTTTGTTGATGCCTGTCATATGAAGAAAAATAAATGTATTGTTTTTAAAGATATTTAATAACAAAACAGATAAGGTTTCTGTGCAGCCTTCTGTATAAAGCAGCCCTTCTGTAGTTCCAAACTGGTCTCCATGATATTTTCACAAATTTTCAGAGAACATTTTTTATTTTTTTCCTCCTTCAGTATTATATTCCTCAAATATATTATTTCAACCACTCACTAAATTAGACACATACTCCTAATACAGAACATAAGAAGTTCAAAGAGAAAAATACTACTAATTTGAGAGACCCCAAGGTGAAATACATATTTGTAATGGTCTTCACAGAAAAATTACACCTGCTTTTCCAGTTCTCAAGATTATATTAGCAAAGTGTAATAAGAAAAGATTTGAGCCCACATGCATCATGCAGGATATGCTCATTGTTCCTGTACCCTATCAATTCCTTTCAGAGCCAGGATTGTTTTGCTTTAGATTTATTCACTCTACATTTATTGAAAGGACACTCTGAGCCAAAACTGTGCTAAACACTGTTATTTCAGAAATAAATAAGACCTGAGTCCCCTGTCTTCTAGAAACTAAGAGACTATTAAAGACAGACATGTATCATCACTTCATTGCAATATGTTTTGATAACTCCCAATAGTACTAAGTGCAACCTAGCAGAGAGGAAAGATAATAAACTCCTTGGGGAGGAGAATCAAGAAAGCCATTATAGAGGAACTTGGCTTTAAGAATGAGGAGGAAATCACCAGAAAGGAAAAAAATTCCAGGCAGAAGAAACAACACATATGAAGACAAAGGAATGAACAATAGAACTGCTTCATTCAGAGACTTACAAGTAGTCTCATGTGACAAAAAGTGCATGGGAGATTTGCAAGTGATAACTACTGGAATTCCTGGTATTATATCAATAATTTTTCTAAACATTATACATATCTTAATGCACTTAATTCTTAGCATAGCCCTAACAAAGAAGGTATGATTTTATCCCTATTTGGCAAATGAAGAACTTGGGGCACAGAGATGTTAATTAACTTTCTAGGTTGTCTGCAGCCTGGAGGCTGCTATGCCAGGCCTGAACCCTGACAGTCTCCCTTCAGAGACCATGCTCTGTATTGTACAGCACTTCTGCTTCTCAGAAATGAGACTAAAAAAGTAGACAGGAACCAACCAAGGAAGTAATTTAGACCCAAACCTTGAAGATAACTTAGAAAAGGTCATTCCAATAGGAATATACAGGCTTGAATGGGGAGAGCTAAAATTGGAGAAAGGATGTCAAGAAGAAAAGCAATGTTAACTGCCCCAAGAGAGAGGATGAAAACATGAGAGGAGTCGCAATGGGGTTGGAATGGAGTGGCAGAAGTAAAATTGTTCCTCCACTAGGAAGAGTCTTTGCCTCATATTCCTAAGAAATGTCTATTTTCACTACTTCTTCCTTTTGTCCATGACTATTCATCCTCTTCTCTTAGGTTTTTAGTAATCTGTCCTTGGTTTCTATTCCTCATTTTTATTAGCCAGGGACTTAAGGTCAAACAAGTCCACTGGTAGCTGATGATTTTAAAACTGCAACCTTCCTATCCCATTTGTGGGCTACTACAAACAGCTTAATAGCAGTTTGGTTGGCAACTAAATGAGATAAATAGCTAAGAAAATGCCAAGAAAGGATTATTTTAGATTTAGCAAAGTATATATTATGCCTCTAAATTTGTTTTCCAAAGAAAATCATCCTCTGTAAACAGTTTCATTAAGTCTTTGCATCAATGTGACACACACACATATAAAATATAGTCTAATTGGTTTTTCATTCCCTTCTTAAAGAACTCTATCAAATCAGATAATCTAACAAATAAATGTAAGGCTGAGGCTGCTGTGTCTTTTTCTCTTGTTTCTTAGGCTTTAAAAACACAATAAGGATATTCTTGAACTTTTTTCAATACTCAGAATCATAAAAACATCTCTTAAGTTTACATCAAGCCAATATTGTTCTTACAGTTATTCTGCTATCTTTGCTGAGAGTGAACTGAGTGGCTGGGACTATGATTATGGTTTCTGCTTGCCAAAGACTCTCCGATGTGCTCCTGAACCAGATGCTTTTAACCCCTGTGAAGATATTATGGGCTATGACTTCCTTAGAGTTCTGATTTGGCTAATTAATATTCTGGCCATCATGGGAAACTTGACTGTCCTTTTTGTTCTTCTGACCAGTCGTTACAAACTGACAGTGCCCCGTTTTCTTATGTGCAATCTCTCCTTTGCAGACTTTTGCATGGGGCTCTATCTGCTCCTCATTGCCTCAGTTGATTCCCAGACAAAAGGCCAGTACTATAATCATGCCATAGATTGGCAGACAGGGAGTGGATGTAGTGCTGCTGGCTTTTTCACAGTATTTGCAAGCGAACTTTCAGTCTACACCCTTACAGTCATCACTATAGAAAGATGGCACACCATCACCTATGCTGTTCAGCTGGACCAAAAGCTTCGATTGAGACATGCCATTCCAATTATGCTTGGAGGATGGATCTTTTCTACTCTGATTGCCATGTTGCCCCTCGTGGGTGTCAGCAATTACATGAAGGTCAGCATCTGCCTCCCCATGGATGTGGAAACCACTCTCTCGCAAGTCTACATATTAACTATCCTGATACTCAACGTGGTAGCCTTCATCATCATTTGTGCTTGTTACATTAAAATTTATTTTGCAGTTCAAAATCCAGAGCTGATGGCTACCAACAAAGATACAAAGATTGCTAAGAAAATGGCAATCCTCATCTTCACTGACTTTACCTGCATGGCACCTATCTCTTTTTTTGCCATCTCAGCTGCCTTCAAAGTTCCTCTTATCACAGTCACCAACTCTAAAGTTTTACTGGTTCTCTTTTATCCTGTCAATTCTTGTGCCAACCCATTTCTATACGCAATTTTCACAAAGGCATTCCGAAGGGATTTCTTTCTGTTGCTGAGCAAATTTGGCTGCTGTAAACGTCGGGCTGAACTTTATAGAAGGAAGGAATTTTCTGCTTATACCTCCAACTGCAAAAATGGCTTCCCTGGATCAAATAAGCCTTCTCAGTCGACCTTGAAGTTGTCCACATTGCACTGTCAATACTCAGCTGTCCTAGACAAGACCTGCTACAAAGAGTGTTAACTATTACATCAGTAATTGCATTACTGAATTATACTTAAGTCTGAAAAAAAATTACCTGAACCAGTAATTTTAATATAAAGAGTTGGTTTTAGAAAATTATTTATTCTTAGGTATGTTGATCAAAAGACTTTTGCCTAGTTCAAATTGTGATCCATGACCATTGCCAATCTGGGAACTATTTGTCATTGATATGTGATGATATAAAATTCAGAGGCAGCTCAGAAATTTTGTAACAATTTTGACAGAGTGATTAAATTGTTAAACCTAATATTAAGAAAAATCAAGATGGTATTTTATGTGTCTTTGATTTTTTTCATTTTAGTCTTTTAATTTTTATTTCACTCTATAAAAACAATAGTACATAACAGATTGGAAATTTAAAGTAATTGGTCTTTTTTTCCCCGAATAGTTAGAAAGCCACACTCAAGAGATTGCACTATGCAATCTTCTAGCCACTAGCCATGTGTGGCTAAATTAAGGTTGCATGAAAATTGTAGTTTCTCAGCTGCACTAACCACATTTTAAGTGCTTTATGAGCACATCTGACTAGTAATTTCTATACTGGGCAGCACAGAAACAAAACATTTTCATCTTCCCAGAAGAGTTTATTTTTTATGGATTTCAAAGTAATTTGCAGAAGACTTCAGCACTTGTCAGTCCTAAAATTTCTGCAAAAAAAAATTCACAAAAGTTCAGTATTTATTTTTTGTTTTGTTTTGTTTTTAGGTAAAATTCACATATGAATTTTTTAGGTGACATGGACAAATTTTAAATATACCATTTAAAAAGTTTTGGGAAATGCATACAACTCTATGAAGACACAGAACAGTATCACTATCAGAAAGTTCTCCCACCTCCCTTCCCAGTCAGTTCCTCATCCCCTCTCTTAAAGGTACTGATGAATCTGATTTTTATTCCTATAGATTAGTTTTGCCTATTCTAGAACTTCATATAATGGAATCATACAGTTTACATTCTTGTACATTTCTTCTTTAACCCAACATAATGTTTTTGCTATTCATTTCTGTTACTGATGAATCAGTTCATTGCTTTTCAATACTTATTAGTATTCCAGTGGCTATGTCAATGGATATCTGGACTATTTTCAGATTTCAGCTCTTCAACATTTCATTAAATACATATCTAAACATAACTAGACTCAACACATCTAGTTTTCTTTCAATCCTTGTGCTACTATGTATAATGTGATTCAAATAAAAATTTAAAAAGACTATAAACTTTATAAAATCTCTTCTCTATAATGCGTTTTTCACATTTCTGACTTTTCAACTCCATAACAGTTACTTTATTCAGATGTAGTCCTCTCTCTTGTAAGCTAGTGTTTTAGAATCTGTCTCAGCAATATGGCAGAATACCAATTCATCATGTTGCTATTTAACTACATATATACATTTTATTCATAATAAATCCCAGAATAAAAACAACTGAGTGAAAATTTTTTAAAAGCAGAAAGCAAAATAATGAAAAATTAAATCTATTCTGGTGGAGAATCTTAATATAACTAACTTCGCCACTGTTAAATAGTTTGAGCCCAAAAGTCATCATACATATACTTTGAAAATACCTGTAAATTTAAGTTTCAGCTACTAGACTAATATTCAGAGAGCTCTAGAATCCATCCTCAGATCTGCTCACTTTTTCTGTTTTTTCACATGTAGCAAATTGTTCCAGTTACTTTTCCTTAGTCATGCCATATATGTATTTATCCCCTATACTTATCACATGAATAATTTATTCCTTATTTGTTCCTCTATCCTGCTTCCTTTAAAGTTCCAACTATGGGTTTATCTTCTTTATCAAACTCTCCTTAATATACTCCCTTGCTAATCCACTATAGTCAAGAACCTCTTATGTGCAATAAAATAGAGTACAAATAATATTTATATAAACTACAACAGTCTCTCTCTTTGGACTCCATGGCACTTGCCATCTATATCACTCATTTGCTTCCACCCTATACTGTGTATTACTAATTATGTTTACAAGCCCATCCTTATTTCAACTGTTACAAATTTCTGATACACTTGTCTCTTTTACAACTTTGTTTCTCCCACTATATTTATCCTTCAACTACTCTGTGAAGCCTTACACAGAGTAGTTGATTGAATTTTTTCTTCTTTGTGGTGTTAGGGATTGGATCCAAGGTTGCGCTCATGTTAAGCAGATGCTTTACCAATGAACTACTCACCCAGATTAATAATTTTTTAAGCTGATTCACTTTTGTAACTGAATATAAAACTGTCCTTGTCAAGAAGCATTTCTTGTATGTAATAGTCCCATAGACAGTGTGTGTATTCTTATGCTGTATAATCTCTCAAACCTAAATCATAGAAAAAATCAGATGCTTAATGGATTTATATTTCTGCCTTGATTTTTTTTTGTGATGTTGAATATTACTATTGTTAGGTTGTATATTGGCTAAAAAGGGTTAATCAATTTGGAATAAATCATGTAAAGTTATAAATAGCTTTAAAATGTATTGGTGTTTTGTACTCCATTTATTACATTTGTTGTAAAGGGTCTGTTTTTAGCTTCTTCAAGAATATAAATTAAGCAGAATACAACAGTCACTAATATGCCATTATGTAAAAATGTGAGTGTGTAACTGATGTGATTCTGCAATTTGTATTTGGGGTAAAAATGGGAGTTCATAACCCAATTGAGTCAAATGTATGAAAGATGATATATCATGAGCTTTGTAATGTCTTGAACAACCAATAAAAAAATATAAAAAGAAGAATGTAAATTAAGGGCTGGTGTTGTGGCTCAGCAGCAAAGCACTCACCTAGCACGTGCAAGGCCCTGGGTTTGATCCTCAGCACCACTTAAAGATAAATAAATAAAATAAAGGTATTGTGTCCAACTACAGCTAAAAAAATAAATATTAAAAAGCAATGTAAATTAAGAATCTCATGATTTCAATAAATGTGTTCATAATTAGAAATAACCTTTTCTTCAAAGTATCCCCACTGTTTTCACTTTCCATGGTTTCAGCTATCCACAATCAACCACAGGCAAAAAATATAAAGTGAAAAATTCCAGAAATGAAAATTTCACATGTTTTAAATTATGTGCTGTGGTGAAATCTCATATCATACTCAATCCCACCCATTTGAATCATCCTTTTATCCAGAATATCCACACTGAACACCTCACATACCATTGTTATTTAGTAGCAGTCTGGATTATCAGTTTGACTGGCATGATATCACAATGCCTATATTCAAGTAAACCTTTTTTTTTATTTAATGATGACCCCAAAATGCAAGAATAGCGATGCAAAGGAGACACCAGAACATAAAACATAAAAGGAATGATTAACTTAGGTGTTATACGGCAACAATGAACAACACATAGGGATAAAAACAGTTTATACAGGGTTTGGTACTATCTTCAGTTTTAAGCATCCACTGGGGGTCTTGAAACATATTCCCTATGCATAAGATAGGAGTACTCTAATTTTAATTAACATATTTTTCCCTAAGAGTTATTGCCATAGGCTTCCAACTTACCATTTAACTTTCTAGTTATAAAACACAAAGTTCCCACCTTGCCTAGAGTATATTTACATGGAAAACAGCATAATATTGACCTACTAGCATAAATCAAATAAAATACTGTATTAAATTCCCTGCTTAATGTCCCAATTAACTGTTGCTGTTTGTTATGGTTTGCATGTAAGGTGTCCCTCAAAAGCTCATATGTTAGACAATGCAAGACACTTCAGAGGAAAAAATGATTGGATTGTGAAAGTCTTAACCCAATCAGTGAATTAATCCCCTGTAGGGATTAACTGAGTGGTAACTGGAGTAGTAAGGTGTGGCTGGAGAAGGTGGGAATTAGGATGCGGCTATGGGGTATATATTCTGTATCTCAAGAGTGGAGTCTCTCTCTCCGCTTCTTGATCACCATAATATGAGCTGAATCCCTCTGCCACACACTCTGCCATGATGTTCAGCCTCATCTTGAGCCCCAAGAAATAGAGCCAGCCCTCTATGGACTAAAACCTCTGAAACCGTGAGCCCTCAAATAAACTCTTCCTCCTCTATAATTGTGCTGGTCAGGTCCTTTAGTCATGACAATGAAAAAGCTGACTAAAACACTATTCATTCTATAGTTATTATTTTCCAACACAATATAAATGATTTAAACTGAGTACAGCAGTTAGAATTAGAATCCTAATGCTGTATGAAGTCTAAGCTATAGATGATTATTTATACATATTATAGCACTGACTGGGGAATTCTGCATATTGAATAAAATAGGTAAAGGAAGCAAGGTCAGTTAGTCAAGAGACTAATTCTATGAAAAATCAACAAGATCTTCTTGGTCTACAGGGAGATAGATAATGTTAAGAAATCACCATAGGATGCTGAGTATGAGAAAAAAAATTGAGAAATTCTCAAAGTGTACTGGCACAGGAATTAGATACATGATACTTTCACAAACCTCCTTTAACATAGCAAACTGTAACCTCTACAAAAGACACTTTACTTATAAAAAGTAAAAGACAACATTTACCAAGGCACTGTCTTTATAAGAACTTAGAAACTAACTTTATAGTATTTTGTTATAAAATACAATAAGAAATGTTTACCTTGGACATGATGTAGAGGTTCCTAAAATTCATATAATAGCAAAGTGAAGTCTCAGATAAAATCTCTCAACTTTACAGGGTTCAAAGAATAATTTTCTCTTCTAAAGTAGATGGAGATTTATCTCACATTATCTTTACCACATAGGTTAAAAATCTTTCTCATATGTGTAAGTTAAAAAAAAAAAAGGCCAACCTGAATGTGGAGTAGTGATTATTAGAGGTTGATGAGCAAGCAGGGCAGGGGAGGGGGATACTGGAAGGGTGAATTTGATCACTTCACACTGTATGCATATACTGAAATACCACACTAAACCCTATTAATAGGCATAATTAATACATCTTAATCAAAAATGCAATAAAATACTAGATGAATTTGTTAAGAACTGAATCCTCTATATTATCATATTCATACTGAATAATAAAGATATGATTGTCAGCGTGCCAAAAAAAAAAAGGTTTTTAACTGCAAGTAATGAGACCAACTTGGTTGAGATCATCAGGTTTAAAAAAAAAAGGCAGAATGGAATCAGCTAATGTAGAAGGCCATCATGCTAAAGGCAATCATGATTTTCTGAAACTTGTTTCATTTGTGTCATGAGTGTCAATATGCATTCAAATATATATTGTGTTGTCAAAGGGCATTTCTTAGTGTGGATCCTGGCCAAAAAAAAATTGCGAATCACTGGTTTAGATAACTTCTCAAGAATTAGAAGTCTTTTTAACATTATCTGAGCTAATAAATGGGTATGAGATCCAAAATAATTTGGTGAAATCCTAATTTTTTCTAGTCACTACCAAAATTATCACCAGTTATATTACCATGCAAGGATATTTATTATTGGACTTTGTTTTGTGGCAAGCCTAATTTTAAATTGATTTTTTTTTTCATTTTTAAAAGATGAGGGGCATGAAGACATGCAGAGACACAAATGGGACTACTGTGACTTTTTTTCCCTAATAATACAATGTGCTACATAAAGAAGACTGATACAATAGTACTTACAATGTACTATTTTAAAAAATCACTGAAGCAAAGTGAAATTTTAAATCCTAGTTCCTGGGTAGGATATCTTGTCAATTAACCTAGGGCTTAATTTACAATAAGGTTTGCCTAGAGAAAATACAAAGTGACCAGGTGGGCCTAGGAAGAAGAAAACAAAAAGAGTAGAAAGTAAACTACTCCAATCTAACAATTGATATTGATTTTATATGAAAGGGAACTGGAATCTGATTTAAATTTTACTTCAAAAAAAAGAAATATGACAAGGGGGCTGGGGCTGTAGCTCAGTGGCAGAGCGCTTGCCTAACAAGTGTGAGACACTGAGTTTGATCCTCAGCACCACATAAAAATAAAGAAAATAATCTGTCATCTACAACTACAAAAAAAGAAAAAAGAAAAACACGACAGGGCCGTGGTTATAGCTCAGTGGTAGAGTGCTTGCCTAGGACGTGTGAGGCATTGAGTTCCATCCACAGCACTACATTAAAAAAAAAAAGCACTAAATAAAATAAAGGTATTAAAAAAAAGAAATAAGACATAACAGTATAGATAATAGGGGGGCACTTTAAAACAAAGCAAAATAAATATAAAATTGCATATTTGCATCTGCATCTGAATTAGAAGTTTATTAAATTCCATATAGTGAATTAAAATTTGATCAGCTCTTGATGGACTATATTTAAAATAACAGGAAGTTTCACAATATGTAATATTGTGATGTTTACAAAACTGATGAACTGAGCTCAGAAAGTTTACCACTCTGCATCACCAATGGCTTTTGCAAATACATAGTCTCTCCCTCCAAAACACATAACACCATCTTTCAAAAAGAATTTCCACTTGTTCTTGCTTCGATGAATCTGGAGGGAGAAAAATAATCTAAATTAATTTTGTAAGTTAAAAAATCATTTACATTTCTTTGAAATAGTAAACAGATTTATTCTAACACTAAATAGGAATTTTTTAAAAGTAAGACCCCCTCAAGATAGTTTATTCACTAATTCAATAGATATTTGAATTTCTATAATGTCAAATACTGTTTGAGGTACTGAAAATACAACCAGTTCTAACATATAAAATAAGGTACTAGAGATACTGTATCTATATCATATATACAGTCATCCCTCAATATCATTGTATCCTGAGGTATTGGTTCCATAGCCCCCCCAGATATGAAAACCTGTGGATGCTTGAATTCCTTATGAAAAATGGTGTGTGTGTGTGTGTGTGTGTGTGTGTGCGCGCGCGCGCGCGCGTGCATGTATGTGTGTTTACATATACTGACATGTTTACATATATTTATATATAGCACACACATATAACCTATGCATATCCTTCTATGTGTTTTAAATCATCTCTAGACTTTTTTTTATGTTAAGGTTACAAACTTACTAGCACGAATAAGGTATAGAATTTGAAAACCTTAGGCTTTGCATTACTTTTATTATCACAGGAGTTACTTCCCCAAAATGTTAATCACAGCTGTATTGAAAGAGTATTTGGGAAATGTGGCAATGTGGTTTATATAAGTATACCACATTATAAATCTACTGGAGATCCAAAGGGATTTGCCTTTGTGGAATTTGAAACAAAAGAGCAAGTAGCAAAAGCTATTAAGGTAGGTCCAAACCCAGAAGGCAAAACAGGGAAGAGGAAAAGAAGCAGTTCTGAAGATGCAGAGTGCTTAGCTCCCAAATTCTTTTTAAAAGGTACAGACAGCACCTCCATGTTAAAGTGGAAGGGAGTCCACGCATACAAGACTCCTTTGTATCCGAGAATTAAAAGCTTCTAGCACCAATTTCCAAGGAGTTCTGTCCTCATCTTCAGGAGTAGATCTCCAGATTATTTGCATACCTAATACAATATAAATATTCTTAAGTAGTAATTATACTGTATTGTTTAGGGATTAAAGATGGGGGAAAGGTCTGCAAATGTTTGGTAAAGATGCAATTTTTAAAATATTTTCAATTCACAGTTGATTAAACAGAGAATGAAACTGCAGAGATGGAAGGCCTACTATACATGATTTCATATACTACATCTGTAAAAACATACATATACATAATA